ACGCTAACACCTCTTCAACAAATGGTGATGCATAAATTACAGAATAATTTTTTTAGATGAATAATCTAAATACCAGTGCTTTGAACAAAAATCTAAAAAAAAATCCAAAATGACGATGGAATGGAACTAAATATATTATTTAATATTGAAATTTTTAAGAAAAATTCAAAATTTTCTTATTTAATATTTTATCAAAGTAACAAATAGGCTTTTGGACCTTAGCTTTTTCTTCAAAATATAGCTACTAACACACGCAAACACAACAAAATTTACATACAAGAATTCAAATTCTTATAAACTTTTTTGTTACGTGTGTAAGAAGTACATAAAAGAAATTCTCGAAATCAGCGCTTTCAAGCAAATGCTTTTAAGATATAGAAATTTCTGAAATGTAAGAAAATTCCTAATTAATAATTCGAAAATTAATATCTAAAAATGCCTCATTTGTTTCGAAAATAAAATTTATTCAAATGAAAAAAAAGGTTAAATTACTCAATGCGTATAAAAAAAGAATATTTTAGTTTTGTTTTCGGCAATTTACTTCTGGTTTCGGTTGCGAAATAACAACTATAACTTTGCTTCTAAAAATCATTTAAAGAGTTTTGGATAACCAATGAACTGTCGTTCAAATAAGGATAATTATTAAAAGGAATCGAATTTTTGACCTAAATTGTTGATTTTCACTCAATCGATAGTACTTTTTACATACATCTTAATGAGAAAAAATTTTACTGCTTGGGTTAGCTCAAAGTTAATAAAATAAAAGTTAAGAAAAAACGAAAAAATAAATGAATAAAAAAACACTGCACCCCAATAGCGCGTTTTCGTTTTCAAATGAAAAATCGAAAGCGTAGGAAAAGCGTAGAAATTTCAGCGTAGGAATTTTTTCATAGTTTTGTTTGCGGGAATTTGCTTCCGATTTCGATTAAAAAAAATAACTAACTTTACTTCGAAAAATCGGAGAAAATTTAAGGAATTATGGATAACTATTGAACTGAAGTTCAAATGTGGATAATTATTAAAGAATCGAATGTTTAATCTAAAATGCTGATTTTCGCTCAATCTAATACCTTAACATCTTAATTAGAAAAAATATTACTGCTTGAGTTAGCTCAAAGTTAATAAAATACAAATGAAGAAAAAACGAAAAAATAAATAAATAAAAAGACACCGCACCCCTAAGGCGTGTTTTTGTTTTCAAATATAAAATCGAAAGCGTAGGAAAGTATATGCAAGGCAAAGGGTAACAAATATTTAGATCACATTCTCAACTTTATACCAATCCTGAGAAAGGGTTGCATCAGCCCAAGTTGACCTAAATGTTAGCAAAGCTAATTAGTCGTGTCAAAATCTTGACGGGGAGTGGCTTTCAACACCTAATAGAGTTACATACTTTGTAATAAACGCGACATATTATGAAATTAAATGTAATTTAAAAAGAGCGGTTTTTAAACTCATACACCTTATTTGACTAATTACGATGTGTTTAGAAATATGCAATAGAAAAAAAATATTTAAACTGTATAAGGCATAAATATTGAATTTTGATAAAAAAAATTGAGATAATGGAATTTCACTTTATATTTAGGAACAATTCATTTACATGTGCGATTTTGATGTAAAGTGAACTAAAACAAACTGCTTGAAAGCAGGAGATTATAGATATGATGGATAGCGTAAACAACAATTTATCAAATTCTGAGTTGTCAAAATTTAAACTTGCTTTATAGAAAAAGAAAATTTTAATGGACTTTTTAAAATGTATGATACATTAACTAGTTTCGAATTTGTATTTTTTCAGACTGGTTTCCCTCATGTAATTAAGCATTAAATGCCAGTTATGGTGTTCCTCCTTAATATAAACTATGATAGTAGGCATAAAAGTCTATATATCTATGGTAGTTTTTACATTAATTTACTTCACCATAAAAGGGTTCCAGTAAATGGCATATTTATTTATTGTTTTTTAAATATATTAGTCCCTAAATTATTCTTTAAAAGTTATTTAATTCGAAATTCATGAAAAGTTCATTTATTAAAAATTTATTAATTAGAAATTTATAAAAACCATTAAAATTCTCTAATTAAATATTCATAAAAATTCAAAATTTTCAATTCTATATCTGAAAAACTATAATAAAATAACTCTCATTATTTATTATTGTATTATTTAGGTTCATTATTTATACATTTTTAACTTTTTCAGAAATTGAATAATTGACATTATAGCAAATAACTTATTACTTGGGACTGTGCATAAATAATGAAAACAGATTTAAAATTAATTATACATATTTCATTCAAAGCAGTCAAAGTTTAATGAATAATAGTAAAAAGATCAAAATATTTATTAACATAATTTTGCATTTTAGAATTGAACTGTCATTCAGAACTCAATTCATGCCTAAAGTGATATTTTTAGATATTTAAATTGTATGTAATTCCTTTGAGTAGAAGTCTCCATTATACTTCATTAATATTATGATTTATTCAAGTTTATTACATTTCCTCCGACCGATGTTCAGAGTTATATGCATAACCAATCGACCGCAATAAATATCTCATTTTTTTTTTCCATTTACGAATTTACCTATTATTGAATGGATTACAAGTCAACCGCTAAGATTGAAGTAGAGTTGCAAAACTTTGAAAAGATGAGTGAAAAATAACTATCATTAGCTGACGAATTATGACTTTTATCTATTCATTTCAATATAAAAAAATAATATAATTTGACTGGCTTTTGAAATTGAGTTATCTAGCTTCAAGTGTCCCTTTAAAGGTCATAAATTTAAAACTTATTAAGGATAACTTTTTAAACAAATTTATAAATTGTAATGAAAAAAACAAAAAGAGCGAAGGTAAAGAATTAGTGCTTGATTAAATACTTCTGTTTTGTATTTAGAAAGCGAGCTTTTTAGAAAGCCTTTTGTAAGATTCGAAGAGAAATTTTTAAAAATAAAAAGAAATAATCTGCTACATTTATAAAAAAGCAAGAGATTAATGTAAAATAGCATTTATTAGCTGATGAATTATTGTGTTTTCCTATTCATTTCAATTTTGAAAAAAATTAGATCAATTGCCTGGTTTTTGAAATCGAGTTATTTACCTTCAGAGGCCCTTTTGAATTTCATTATAAATGTAAAACATAATTTTACAAAATTATTTAGGCAAAATAAAAATTTGTTCTTTAAAGTATATTATAAAGGACAATGAATCAAATGAAAAGAATAAAAAAATAAAAAGGAAGTTGGATATATTTTTGTTTGACTTTATCTTTTAGTTTTGCATTTAGAAATGTTATTTTAGAAAAGGCTTTTCAGAAGGACTTTTTAAAAATTGAAAGGAAATTTTTAAAAGTGAAAATTTGATCTGCTTCTGTTAAAGCAAAAGTTTTTAAGACTTTTCACTACGTTGTGATTTAAAACTTGTTTTCATTCAAATCAACTGAAGTTTCTCTTATTTGCAAACATTATTTGTTGTTATTCCTTATGGGTCTGTGTGGAGAGCTTTTACGCTTCAGAGAATGTATCAAGTGCTGCGGCTAGAATTAAAGAAATTAAAAAATATTTAATGGCAGTTATTATATCAACCTTTATATGCGTCATAAAAGGCTAACTATTTAATGACTTTGAATATTAACGTTCCATATTAAGATTTAATTAGTAAAAGTTTGTAACTTTTTGTGTCATTTTATCAGTTTATATTATTAACAGTTTGCACACTTTTGTGTCACTTCACCAGTTTATACTATTTAAAATGTGTAAACTTTTGTGTTATTTAATTACTTTTCCATTTAAAACTTATTTTCATTCAAATCGGTTGGAATTTTTTAACATTTATTTATCAGTAGACTACCGTATTTAGTGGCAGTTTCAACCTCTTATGACGTTATGTGAGTCATTACAAGGCTCAAATTTTTCCATGATTTTCTATACTACCTTTCTATAATTTTAATAGTTTAAGCTCCATATTTTTAAAAATTTAAGTTCTATGTTGCTAAAATTTACAATCTTTATCATTAAAAGTTTTGTGTCATCTAATTAGTTAGTTATTTAAAGTTTGATTTCATTCACATGTGCGGACATTTTATGACTTTTATTTATTTGTCGACTACCATATTTAACGTTGGTTTTAACATATTGAGACTTTATACCAGTTATAAAAGGCTTGTATGAATTTATGATCTTAAATATTAACGTTCTATATTTTTAACAGCTTTACTTTTAATAATACTACAAAAAGTTTGTAAATTTTTGTGTCATTTTATTAGTTTATGTTATACAAAGTTGTTTTCTTTCAAATTGTCAGATTTTATGGTTTTTATTTTTTATATACTATATTTAGTGGTAGTTTTAACCTTATTTTACTTTTTATGAGTCATAAAAGGCGTATACTATTTTATGACCTTATTTATTAATGTTCTATGCTTTTTAAAGTTTAAGTTCTAGTCATTAAAAGCTTGTAATTTTTCTTGTCATTTCATTAGTTTGTCATTTTTTTCATTCAAATAATATGGAATTTCATGGCATTTATGTGTAAATTAATATATAGTGGTAGTTTTAACCATATAATACTTAATATGAGTCTAAAAAGGAGTCTATCAAAAACATATTTATATTGTTTTATTAATAATTATGAACTGAATAAACAAAAAAAAATTGTTTTTCCCCTATTATCTAATATTTTAATGATTTTGGATTTTAAGGCAAAAGCATTTCCTCAACAGCCCATCGTAAGCGAGAGGGATCATAGAGGTTGAGGCTTCATAATTTCGTGACCAACAGCATGATGGAAGCAATGTGAGCAGCATTGTGCTCCAACCGTCTTTACTTCTCAGATAAGCTGGCACCCATCGATCTGAAACTGGGTGGTCTTCACGCCTCCTCCTGGGATCAAACCCAAAACAGTCCCCCACAATGACTAGTCTGTGCCTTAACCGCTGCAGGACATTACTTGCAGGACATAAATGCTAGGCAGCAAAGAACAATTAGATTTACCTGTAATGTTGCAATGACCCATCTTCTAGCTCTTTGGAAAATTTCTTCATCTGACCAATCAGGGTGTTGCTCTAAAATTCGCTCAGCTACAACATTATGCCACCGAAAAAATAAAATTCCAAAATTCAGCAATGCTGGGTTTTGATTGGATCTAGGATCACCAAGAACTGAAACAAAAAAGAAAAAAATTGAACTGTTTGTAAATAACAGAAACTATCAATCACATAACATTCAAACTAAGCTTAATATTCCTGATTATACTTCCTGATATGAAACATTTTAAGCTTAAGACCTCTTTATGCTTTGATATTTGGTAATTGTCTAATTAAATTTTAACTTGAGTTCTCTTTTTCTTTAAATTAGTTAATTGAATAATGCAAAGGAAAATCTGTTGGAATTTAACATCATAACTTACCATGGTAAAACTTGACATCACAGTTGTAATCTTTCGATTGAAATGGGTAATACAATTTTTTATTGAGTTAACTATTAGTTTGCTGTTTGATTCTAAAATTTCATTTCTTCGACAAGAAGTAATTAGTCAAAAAGAAAAAAAAAAAAACTCACGAAACATTCTCTCTGGACTAAGTTTTCCCAAGTACCTCGCTGGGGGCGGATTGATAAGAGGAGCCCTCGCGTAATTCCTTGGTGGAAACTTGCCACTCGGATCAGTTAGGAGGGATCCATTTTGAAAAGAACGCATACTGTTGACCCATGCCTCACTCGTGCTGTAAATAAAACTACCATCTATCCAACTGGTGACTTGGTTCAGCTGAAAATAAAATTTAAACATCTTTAATATTCACATTTGTTTAGATAAATTGATTTCGTATAAAAAGTATAACTAAAGCTTAATAAATTGTAAAAGTTTGAATATTAAGTACGTCAAAATCAGATTAAGAATGAAACGTAAAGAAACCAATTAGATGTGTTTGAATAAAAAAAAGTTAATTAAGCATAAGCAGTATAATAACATTAACTTTTAAATTTTTAATGGGATTATGAGATTAGGTATCTTTTTTTCATCTCATGCCAAAAAATTTTATCCGTTGAACATTATGAAGATAAGTTTCAAAAAAATAATTTTTTTTTTTTATGCAAGGTATACTTTTTTATAAGTTGTGTGTAGCCAAACCATTTAAAGCGAACAAACAGCCTTTATAATGATTAATTTAAAGAAAAGGTGTAAATAAATTTTTTTGTATAAAATTAAATGCTCACATTTTTTAATGAAGTATATAAGAATAATAATAACCGTGTTTAGTTAAAAACGCTTACACTGTAAAAAGTTCCGGATCAAATTACGGTATGAAGCATCGGTACTATGGGGGTAACATTCGTAAAATGCATTTTATCATAAAATCCATTTTTGAAGTAAAATATTATACAATGATTTTTACAGCAAATATTTATTTAATTGCAGTGAATTTTACGATGATTATTATCGCAAAAATTACAATATATCAGATTTTTTGTTTCGTAACAGGGATAATGGAGTTTTTACCGTAATTTGATCCGAAGTTTTTAACAGCGTACATATATTTCACAATATTAAAAAATTTCTTGTGTAAATTTTAATTTTTTTTAAAATTCAGGCATTTGTATGACAATTATTTAAACGAATTCAAAATTAAAAAAAAAAGAAATTTTTAATACGACTCTTTAAAGGAAAGTTGCTCCGATAAGCAATAAATTTTTTTTTTATCAAGAATACTCTAGTTTTAATGTTTAAAGATTTTGGCTGATAAAAGAATAACACATTAAATTTACAAATATTTTTGCATTGCATCAAACAGCTGTACTAATAATCATTCCATTATAGAAAAATATTAAGCAAAATATTTTGTATCAATTTATAAGAATAAACAAGATTCTTTCCATTCGCTTCGTAAAAGTAAAGCGAAGTATTTCAGCAACATTTAATAGTGGGTCAAGATGGCGGTCTTGGAGGTCGAAAACTACAATTTTTTGACCATCGGCATGATGGTAAAACGTGATAGGAATGGCGCATCTGCCATTTTTACTTTCCCTAGAAGCCAACCATCAATTTTATTTCCGATGGGCGGCTTCAAGCCGCCATCAGGAATCGAACCCCAGCTATTTACTATCACAGCTCAGAACCCTAGCTAGTGCCATCACGGCTCCATATTCTTCTCAACTTCATTTAAAAATTAAAAAAAATCATTTAACGTGGTTAAAATATATTCGTTAAAATATTTCGTGGAAACTATATATGTCTATCAATATGGATAACTAAAGTTAACATATTAGCAGAAATGTAGCACTCATACTGAACCTAAAATATTTCTAAACTAAAACTCAACTATTTTCCACGTGAATTATAATATAAATATGCGATAATTTACACAAGGCAAACATTTCGAATTTCTAAAATATTCTAAACCTACATTAAATAAAATGTTTTTGATCAATTGAAAAAAAATATTAAGAAAACGCTGCATGAAGAAACAAAAGTTATAAATTTTGCAGATTTTATCTTAAGCTAACTAATATTGCCAGTTTATAAGAAGTTACGCTGCACTAGAAGTTACAAAAAATTATTTTGATAAAACTTTTTAAGTACATTAAAAGATTAATGCCTATTTTTTGAAGGTAATGTGTAAGTTAATAATATGCATGCAAGGAAAACTTTTCTTAAAAATAATTGTTAAAAGTCATGTATGGAAGTAGATATAGCACATTTTATAAATTTTCATTGAAACAAACTCTAACAAACCATTAAATTTCCGCTTTTTATAATTGAGTTAACTTACTTCGCTTGCTTCACAATCTCTTACATTCATTGATATATTTAAATAAAACAATCAAACTTAATTACTTATTTTTCTAAGTATTCTTTTGCAGAATAAAAAATCAAACAGTCTCTCTTTATTTCAATGTTTTTTTGTAATCACCATTATTATTTTTCACATTGAGCAACATTATTACTAGCTAGTGCTGTCACGCAAATGCGTGTTTATAATTTCTATCAAAATGATTTACAGATATTTTTAAAACTAAATCTAACAAAAAGTTCAAATAATATCGTTTTTAAAAGCAATTGTATTTGAATAATGGAAAATACGCTCAATAATTTTGCAAGTGTTCTGTTATTCTGAATATAAGTTGGTAATACCACACAAAGAGATCGTTATCTCTTGATCTATTTTAAACTCAAACACAGATTTTTTTTGTGAACATAGTTGCAAGGAAATAATTACAATTTCGCAGCAGTTTTTATAGCTTCGTGATATTGGAATAATTTATGGCTTTAAAAACAGAGATATCGGTCATCTAGCTTGAAACCCTTCATTCGAGTTATTATCTAGGAGGGAGGTGGCGAATTACCCAATAAAAAAACAACAATATAGTTTTCGTGATTGCATTAGAAAGTACTTAATTTTAAACAAGTTATCAAGAGTTTCACTGAACTTTAATTGGTTTATAAACAATATTTTTTTTAAAAATTTATTTAAACTACGTATTTTAATAATCTCATTATGTCTTTTTTCTATAACGAGACACTAAAAAAAAATCAAAAATAATAACAATTCTTGCTTTAAGGTAAAATGAATTTATTAAATGGACGTGTCGGAGCGCTTTTCATGTGTTTGCAAAATCACATATAAATGATTTCTGTAATTTAAACTATAGCTTTCCTTTTCACTAAGTTTAAAACTAAGTTTCATTAATTAAGTTTTAAGTGTAGATTAAGTTGAGCCAGTGTAAAGTTATTTTTTTAAAGAAAATCTGTAGCTTTCTCTTTTAAGACAATTCAAAATTATGAAACTGACGAGAATAACCTTTGTGAAATTTTCATAATTTCTTACTTTCAAAACGTATATGCTTAGTTAGCTAAAACATTTTACTACGGTTAAATTCATCAAGATAATTTTTCATAAGTTAATAGTGTTTTGTATAGCTACATGAGGAATATTTTTCTCAAATTTTATGTTAAGAATAACAAATAAGAGAAAGATCTTGCGTATACTCTGTATACTTGCGTATACTCTTGCGTATACACTGCTCTTCACATCGATAGAATGAACACTGAATAATTTTAATTTGCATCCTTCATACCCGAGTATGCTATAACCGCTTATAAGTTCACTGAGTTTTTTCCATTTATATAAATATTTTCTTGGGTTTTAATAATTTTCGAATAATTAAAAGAATTGTTTTCAGGGTTTTTGTTAAATATGTCGCTACTTTATGGGAAAAATACTTAAAACAAATCTTTTTGTAACATAACATACTCAAATTTATACAATAAATCAAATTCTTCATATAAAATCCTCAATTTCTTGAACATTTTTAGCATAATTTAAATTACCAACCTTACGCAATACTTTAGCGAAAAACACAACTACCAATCACTTTTTCTGACCTAAGAATACTTTGTTTGATCTTTAAGCCCTACTAAATGCTTTTACGACTATATGTATTTTAACATTTCAGATAAGAAATTATCAAAATCAAATGCTATTAGCTTATTTATTAACGTGTTTGTTAAAAGCAAACCCTCACACTTACTCTTGGTCTTAAGAGTATAAAACAATTATAGAATATCAGACAGAAGTATTCATTTTATAATAAAATTCATTCTTAAAAAAATGCACTATTAGTTTAATTTAATACTAATAACAATTATTGTTTTAGTTTGGAAAAAGATAATGTTGTTAACGAAATCTAATGAATTGAAATAAAGCTAAAATGAAATTCACATATTTTTATCAAGTGTTATGGTTATCGAAATACAGGGCTAAAGAGAATACAAGGGCTAGTTCACTCCGCTCTTAGAGCTGAAGCTACGATTTCCCTCCTCATGACGTCNCACTTCTCCAATTAATTTTTTCTATTGACCTCAGTTTAAATCACTTTTTTGCGCGTGCAGCTGTTTATATATATATATATGCCATTAGTTATTTGGGATTGTGTAAATCGGTGTCTGATTGATCGGTAAAAAAACCACATTTTTCTTAAAGGTGATCACTTGGACGACGTTATCTTTGGCCAACGACGTCCAAATAACCGTCATTTATACCTAGAACACACGCCCAATTTCCAGTAGCCAAAGATTTAAGAGCTGATAACATTGTATTTTGTCGTAATCTCGATTGGCCGTGATTAGCAATGTTAGCACTTTTTTCAAGTTTCATTTATCTAAATTATAAAAAAAATCGGGGTTATGATTATATGCAACTTAAACACCATAATACAATATTTTTTTCTTTTCTTTATTACACCATGTATGGAAATTTTTCAGATATTTGATATTGGAGATCGTTAACACACGAACCGTCCTTAAATATAAAAAAAAATTAAAAAGTTTTATGTAAAATTAATCTAAATTATTTTAAACTTTATTTTCTAAATAATAGTCAAATAATATAACATATTCAATCAAAGATTACTGAAGAAAATGTACAATATTTGGTTTAAAGATTGTGTATCTTTTGTATGATTCTTCTTCTCAAGAACATTTGGTCAAATAATTAGATTTTGAATCATTAAGCATATTATGGCTGACCACACAAGGTATGTTAATTAAAAGTTAATGGTAAATGAACAGTAGTATTTCAATATAGTTTCAGACAATTTAGACCTTATCAATATAACTTTAAACGATATAAACTTCATTTATATAGCTTCAGATGCAGAGTATATTTTAATATTTGCACTAAAAATGCTATCAAGCAAACATTTCACTAATAGTTAATTTGTAGAAATCGCAAGTTTATTTCTTTGAAGTAACTTTCCCTTTTTATTATT